AAAAGAAAGAAGAGCCTCTAACACTAGCATTCTCTATTCTTTCTACTTATTTGCTTTTTATTGATTATAAATAATGACCTTCTAACACTTGCATTATCTATTCTTTTTCTGTTCTATTGACTTGTTTTATTTTTATGTAAAAATGAAAAATCTAACACTAGCATTCCCTATTCCTTTTCTATTCTTTCTATTTATTATAAAAACAAAATAAGCAAACAAACAAACAAAAACCTTGCTATGTATACTGTAAGGCGAAGCTAAAACTAAAATATGGTCACCCTAGCTTGCATTTGAGGATCCTTAGATCCTTCAGTTAGTAACGGCTAAATCAACTAAAACTGTCAACCCTGTTTCCTGGGCATAGCTATAGCATAAGCAGAATGTTAAAATCGAACAGAAATGTACTTTAAAATAATGTTCTTTTTTAAAATAGAAATGTCACCCAATAACCCTTTTGTTTGTCAAACTGCAAAACATGCTAACACCAAACTACTAGGCTACATTTGATAAAATAGCCTATCAAACTGTGTGAAACTGCATAGTTTAAATGCTCATCACATTTCTTTTTCTGTTCTATTGACTTGTTTTATTTTTATTTAAAAATGAAAAATCTAACACTAGCATTCCCTATTCCTTTTCTATTTTTTCTATTTATTATAAAAACAAAATAAGCAAACAAACAAACAAAAACCTTGCTATGTATACTGTAAGGCGAAGCTAAAACTAAAATATGGTCACCCTAGCTTGCATTTGAGGATCCTTAGATCCTTCAGTTAGTAACGGCTAAATCAACTAAAACTGTCAACCCTGTTTCCTGGGCATAGCTATAGCATAAGCAGAATGTTAAAATCGAACAGAAATGTCCTTTAAAATAATGTACTTTTTTAAAATAGAAATGTCACCCAATAACCCTTTTGTTTGTCAAACTGCAAAACATGCTAACACCAAACTACTAGGCTACATTTGATAAAATAGCCTATCAAACTGTGTGAAACTGCATAGTTTAAATGCTCATCACACGTGTGAATGTGAAACATCTGAGGAGGAGGAGGGCTGTTTGCTCGAACACCTCAGATCGCCTAGCCATTGCGAGGCAACAGAATATGATGAAAATCAATAAGCTTTTGCCACATTTATTGGAGCACAGGTATGGCTTTACTAAATTAAATAGCTCGATACGACAGATCAACAACAGGTAAAATAGTGCTAAAAGTTATCTTATGGAGATTAAAAATTAAAAGTTGAAAGTGTAAAAAGGTATAATTAATAGTATGAACTTACATTACCTCGGCATTAGCTACAAAAAATGAATATTGTTAGGATGTGGTCAAAAATATAAGAAAAGTTGGGTAAACTGCTATAGAGGTGAGCGACATCTCTACTGTACAGTTTACCCAACTTTTCTTATATTTTTGACCAAATTTAACATTCCTAATGAAAGTTTACTAATAAAACCCAAACTTTATTGTTTTACTGACTTGAGTAAGGCTGTACTGAAGACAGTAGAGATTTTTTGAAGAAGAAAGTTTGTATTTATTTGATTATTTTACCCTCTTATTCTATCTATCTATCTATCTATCTATCTATCTATCTATCTATCTATCTATCTATCTATCTATCTATCTATCTATCTATCTATCTATCTATCCATCCATCCATCCATCCATCCATCCATCCATCCATCCATCCATCCATCCATCTTTATTTATTTATTTATGCATAATTATTTAATGTTCAATATTGGCAAATAAATAAAACAGCAAACAAAAGTTGTTTTAAAAGTTGTTGTTTAAAAGTAAAATCTAATGACATTTTAGCTGAGACTTAATTGTCTAAAATCTTTCTAAAATTCACTGTATGCTGAACAATAAGTGCTTTGGTAAACATGAACAAATGCCCATTAATCTCTTTAAGATATGTTTAGTATTTCAGAATAGCCACAAAGAAGAGGAAAATTCAGAAAACTGGCCAACAAAAACAAGGTTTAAAGAGCATAATTTAATCTGCCCTCAGTGCTTGTACAATCACAACAGTAAGAGTCATTCATCATAAGTATTTCACATAGAGGAGTGTGCGTGCCATCATACAGGGGGTTTGTGCATGAGCGAGGTAAACATCTCAGAGACACTTCACTAATAGTAATCTGAATCTAAAACAGCAGGACGTTAATGACTTGCAAAGGACAAACTTCAAATAATGTTTTTACAGAATTATTTGTTACACTCTAAAAAAAATGCTGGGTTAAATATAACCCAGCGCTGGGTTAAAAAGGACAAACCGCTATTGGGTTGTTTTGACCCAGCGGTTGGGTTGTTTGTGTCGAAACTGAAGCAAGTCAGAACAAGAAGGAAGCAGGAAATGACAGAGGCATAAGCTTTAGACATTCATTTGCACCCCCCTCTGTCTTTAAGAAGACAAACCCTGGCTCTCGTGCATGTACCAACTCATTCGTTCATTCTTTTGAGTAAGCCCAAGTACGACTGAGCACCAAACGAGCAAGTCAACAATCGTGAGATGCTTTAAAATACAGTAATATTATCACAACCCAGACCTCCTGCAGGACCCGAATGGCTGTCAACTGAATATCAGTTATTAATCGGTACAATTCGAGGTAACATTATTCGCATGTAGTCACAGAGGTGAGCGTGTATGTCCCGTTCATGCTGGATTCTCACACAGACCCTCTTGTTCTGCCGGGTCCTGTTGATTTCCCTGTGGCAACGGCGGTCTCTTGAAGAAGCCAACCTGGTGGGATATCAGTATTGTATTAAGCATTTTTCTTTGTCAGAATTACAGTGTATTAGTAGTTGCAGTTCATGCTAAAACAAAGAGCACATACCTTCCATAGGATCAGCATAGCTACAGCTAAAAGGAGGAGGCCGCCGATGACACTTCCTATGATAATACTAATAGGAATATCTCCAATCGCTCTTTCTTTACTCACTGTAATTTTTATCTGCAGCAGAGTCAGGAAAGATTAGATAAAGCATATCAACACACACACACACACACACACACACACACAGAGTACTGTACATATGTGAAAACTAAAATATTGTCCTTAAATATCGGTTGTATTTCATTTGATATCTTTATTTTTTATTTTTTAAAGGAAAACTATTTGACAGTGTGGTGTTGTATACGTAAACTTAATTCAAGACATGTAACTATTTGTTATTTTAAGAATGTTTAGATTTTTTTTATATGGGAAAACATAACAAAAGTGCTTAAAACAAGCTTACTGGTCAAACCAACTTCCCCATTAGTATGGCTATGTTGGTCAACCACTATGTTGACAAGCACTGAAAATCACTCTAAGCCCAGCTATGGTCTCTTCAGCAGGGTTGAGCATATCTTAAACACCACTGAAAGACAGGGGGATGAACTGACCTGTTGTTGTCTGTGTGTGACAACTATGAGATCAGGCAGAGATGTTTGTATCTCGGAGCTTCCAGCCACTAAAACTGTCTGAAAATCAGCCTAGAAGGAAATAAACATGGAGCGTGGAATAACAGGCTAACGACAGATATCAGAAATGGAAGATGGAGATAAAACAGTTCAAGAGACACTCACAAAGGCAAATGTGCCATTCCAGAGCCTTGTGGTGATGTTTACAAAGTAGTTGGTCTTCATCTCCAGATTGTTGAGGACACAAGTCATGGTTTCACATTTTGCTGCATTACAATTCTGGAAATGAACAAATGTTTGCTACACTGCAGTTCAAAAGTTTTCGGTAGGATTAAAAATAAAAGAAAGTCTTTTGGAAAGACTCTTCTGCTCACCAAGGCTGCATTTATTTGATCAAAAATACAGTAAAAACAGTAATATTATGAAATATTATTACAGTTTAAAAGAACGGTTGTAATATATTGCAAAACATAATTTATTCCTGTGATCAAAGCTGAATTTTCAGCATCATTACTCCAGTCTTCAGTGTCACATGATCATCAGAAATCATTCTGATATACTTATTTGCTGCTCAAGAAACATTTCTTACTATTATCAATGTTGAAAACAGTGCTGCTTCATATTTTTAGGAAACTACTTCTAAATTACTTTTTTCAGGATTCTTTGATGAATAGAAAGTTCAGTATTATTGTATTTCTTTGAAATAGAGATCTTTAGTAACATTATAACGTTTTATTGACATTTTTGATCAATGTAATGCATTCCTGCTGAATAAGAGTATTATTTTATTTAAAACCAAAACATCTAAAATGTGCATATTACAGCATGTATAAATTAATATAAACACAAATGCATACTGACCAGTTCTGTTGTCCCTCTAAAGCTCTCTTTAGTGAAGCTGGCAGTGTGTGTTTCCTCTCTGATCTTCAGTGGGTCAATCAGATGGCTGCTGTCACACTGCACATTTACAACCTACTCAGCAGAAACAGAGATTAAATGTCCTGGTTTTTCATCCCAGTCTGGTATTACAGCACACTTTTATAAATACATGTGCAGTGAAATACTTTATTCGTATAGAAAGTTTAGAATAATTAACATGTTGCAATACATTTTAATAGAGCATTATACTTACAGGTGCCGTTTTGACTGAAGTCACATATAGTAAAGGATTTCTAGCTTTGGATCTGGTGGGCAGTGAGACGGTCAGACGAGCCTGATTGATTGGGAAAGTTCCAGTTGAAACCTGCAGAAAGACATGCTTCAAATAAGTATTACATTGGTCAACATTGCTAAAGCTAGAGGGAACTCTAGACATATTCGTTTAATGTTAAATACGCTTTTTTTTTGACTCACTTGTAAATTTATGTTGAATTCTGGGCCGATGTCATCGAAACCTGAGACTGTATGTTTGACTTGATCCTCAGGACCAATGCCGCAAAAATCCAAGTTTAAGTTTCTTGAAAAAAAAAAAAAAAAAGTAAATGCAACAACAGTTTTTACATGACAAAAAATGTTAGTGGTGCTCATCTGTGCAAAAATTCGCCATGCTGGTAGTGTGTTGTTGGTGGTTGCCAGGGCTTTTTGATACAGTTGCTAAGGTGCTCTGAATGTTTTTATCACATTACTATGTGGTTGGTGTTGCCAATGTATTTTATTTTTTTTGAATTTGCAATTCAAGTACTCAGTTCAAGTAGTTTTTGTTTGAATTTTTAGATAGAGGTCAAATGTTAATATACAGTGGACTAAAGTTTGGAATAATTAATTTTTTTTATGTTTTTTTTTTTTTGCATTTTGCATTATCATACATTTCTTATTATTATCAACGTTGAAAACAGTTGTGCTGCTTAATATTTTTGTGGAAATCATGACACTACAATTCAAAAAGTATTAAGCAGCAAAAACAGTTTTCAACATTGATAATAATAAGAACCATTATTAATAATTGAGCATCAATAATACACTGTAATAATTGAATAGCAAATCCGCATATTAGAATGATTTCTGAAGGAACATGTGACACTGAAGACTGGAGTAATGATGCTGGGAATTCAGCTTTGCATCACAGATATAAATTACATTTTAATATATATTGCAATAGAAAACTGTTATTTTAAATCGTAATAATATTTCAACATGCTACTGTTTTTGCTGTATTGTTGAAGTTCAAAATCATAAAAAACTTAATTATTTCAAATGACCACATTAGAGCAGATAAAGGTTATCAGAGCATTAGTTTGACCTCTGACCTTGTGAGGATGATTTCGGCGTCGTACTTGACTGGGATGGAGAGAGAGACCTTGTTATCAGATGTCACTTCCTCCTCACTGTCACTGGAAAAAGTTGTGTAGGGTTATTTACAGTCAAACCAAACAGATGCCCAAAAGTTAGAACAGAAATGTGTTAAAAACAGTATTTTTACCTTTGCACTTCAAAGGTCACAGCAGCCTGTTTCTCTAGTTGATTCAGGTTGAAGTCAAAGTTGATCACAAATGTTACCTGATGAGACAAAATGAAATTATTAAAGGAAACAAAAAGTGTGTATGCTCACACACACACACACACACACACTCTCTCTCTCTCTCTCACACACACACACTTGTATTCCTATCATTATGGGGACTCTACATAAGTGTAATGGTTTTTCTACTGTACAAACTGTATTTTCTATCCTCTTACCCAATCTCTACCCCTCACACAAAACTTTCTGCATTTTTACATTTTCAAAACACTTCATTCTGTATGATTCATAAGCTGTTTTCCTCATGGGGACCAAAAAATGTCTCCACAAGGTCAAAATTGACTGGTGTTGCTATACTTGTGGGGACATTTGGTCCTCATAACGTAGGGAACACCAGGTACACACAGACACTTTTCTCTTACCGTCTGGTCAAGCGTCAGGGTCGGGTATCCAACTCTGCAGTCGAGTGAGCCTGTTTTTGAACTGCATTTCACTTTAGTGTTGTCTCCCTGCACACATGAGCAGGAAGATTCACAAATACAATTTCTCATACACAAACCAGAGCAGATTTATGGCAGAACAGGAAATGGTGGCCGTACAGGTGGTGTAAAAGAGGCGTAGAACAGGTTACTGGAGAAGTTAGCAGACACTCTTGTATTGTACGCATTTTCCTTCATGTTCGTTATTGTCACGATGAAAGACAGACTTCTTCTGTCAGGTCTGACTAGAAGGGCAGATGAGCTGTAAAACACAACAAAATCTTTTTTACATTTCAGAATTCTGGTTCTTTAATAACATAATACACCTTGCCCTGCTGGTAGTAGTTGGTTATTTTTAGTTAACTCTTAAAGGGACAGTTCCCACTAACAAACATTCTGCCATTCTCTACTAAGGCAGAGATTCCCAAACTTTTTTCAGCATAACCTATTTGACTTTTTACTTGAAGCACCCCCTGATATTTTAACTTCATTTTAATCATTTAACAACACATTTGCATGTTCACAGTTTGCTGATGTCACTTGACATGCATATTACAAATAATGTTATATGTTTCAAATATCTTTCTTTAGTACATTTTATTTAGATTTATTTTTTTATTTTAAATTGATTACATTTAGTTTTTATTTTTAAATATTTTCTTTTTATTTTACATTTACAGAAATTATTATAAGGAGAATATTGAATAAAATATGACTTAAAATTGTGGTCTGGCCCTCATGCAAAGTTAAACAGACAGCTTTTAAGATATTTTTGTATTATTTATATACTAACATAGCATTTATAAATATTTATTTTAGTAATTTTGGTATGAGGTTTTGATATTTTTATTAGACTTTATTTTTATTTTTTATTTTATATATATAATATATATTTATTTTTATTTTTAATTTATTTTAATTTAAAATTTTCTTTCAGTAATTTTAGTACTTTCTAATTTTCAATTGTTTTTAAGTTTATCATATCATATTTATATTCTATATAATATTCTTAATAGTGTGTGTAAATATATATATACGTGT